CAATAATTTGTCATTTTGCATACATTAAAATGAAATGGCAAACCATTATTGCCTTTATGTACTGATGAGGGGGGAAAATAATGCTTGCCAAAACTACTAAATTAAAAATGAATTAAGTAGGACGAGAAAGTGGAGGATTACGATAATTTATACTACAAATTACAAACGTGTGAACTGGTCAGTGTGTCCTCTGGCAGTGTTCCTCAGGTAGTAAAACACGTATACAGCACTTTCTTTTTTTTCTCTAAAACCTGACGGACAGCGGGAATGTAATCTACATGTCCACCTGTAAGCCACATTGCCTTATTTGGTCGTTCCCTCCCTGCTGGTTTCCTGTGATTCTCATTCCCCAGGGGTTCCTCTCTGACAGGCGTCTCACTTTTGTTTCCCCGATTCTGTTTCCCGGCCCCGTCGTTCTGCAGGCCGTCCCTAACTGGGCTTAATTGGATGCATCAGCTTTGAGCGCTAGCGGGAGTTCAGTGTGTTTCCAGTTAATCATGAGCAGACTTCCCAAACGACCAGCTCAGTGGGGAGAAAACGGCTCCAGGGACCAACTCTCAGCCCTGCAGGGAGGACTGGGGGAGTCTGAGTGCTGGTCTCTTGAGAATGCCAGCAGGAGATTTTCCCTCCAAACCACTGGGTTCTTGCAGAGAGGAAGAGAGTTCGACTCTGAGCATACAGTGCTCCAACATCACCAGTCCTGCAGCTAATAATCAATGACTACGGTCCGTCATTTATCAGCTCATATTCGCAGTCATCCCGTGACGTCCTGCCGTTAAAGGTGAAGCGTTGATGTACGTCTCGTCGGTGAAGGCGCTGCAGTAAAAGTAGACACTTCTTTTTAACAGCGCTCACAAACGATTTGAAAAGCCAATTAAACACACAGAGCGAAAACGGCAGATTAATCTTCTGATGCCGGACTCCAGACACTTTGTTAAACGGCCCGGTGAGTTTTAGCGGCTCGCCTCAGAATTTACCCGGCCACATGGCCTGGCTCGCCCGTTTTGATATAGCGTCCCATCGGGTGTCCGCTGCGCTGAAATAAACAGCAGCTCAACATCGTCTGACTTGTCAGAGATTCCCAGGTGGCCATGAATCTGCAGTTCAAATATATCCCCTACAACATATATTTAAAGGCTATTCGGGGAGCCGACAGCTACAGGCATTCACACACTCGTTCTTACATGTCTTGCCGTCCACCATATTTGCAGTAGCTGTCTCAGAAATGAGCTTTTCTCTTCGGTAAAAATCAGTCACTGTTTTTGGCTGGCTGAGAGAGGACAGGAAGATCTGGCTGAAGAGGAAAGGTCAGAAGGAGAGACAAAGGGGCACAACGGTGTAACGTCTGTTATCGCTACGTTATTGAACCTTTAAATGCTGAAAGTGGGCTCTGGGGGAAGAAGTGATTGGAGAAAATCAAAACCTGTAAAGTTTTATTTTGTCCCGTAGTCTCTATGTATAAACAGACTATAAGTAATTACGATTTCTCTTAAATTTCATCTTGTTTTTTGATGGAAACTCTAAACTGTGCAGCCATTCGGAAACGGACTGGAGTGATTTGCAAAAGTTTTCTCACCAATCAACTTTTCTACAAAACTTTACTCTACATTCTTTGGGGAGAATTTATGAACAAAGTAGTACCTATGTTTTTTTTTGTTTTAGAATTTTACAAATAGAAATTTGAAAATTGTGATGATAATTTGAATTATATCCCCCCTGAGTCAATATATCGTAGAATAATCTATTTCTACCAATAATCTATTTCTACTATGAACCTAGCTTAATATGTCTTTATGGTTAGTGATGTATGAAAAGCTCAATTTCAAGCAACCAAACTATCCTTAGCCTGGTGATGGGGCCAGTAAATAAAGCCTGGTGGCCCGCCAGGCTTATAATACTCATGGGGAAACCCTGTTATGTAGTTTTACGGAATTTGCTAATCAGAAGCAGCACATTACACTGCACTGTTTGAAGAACAGGCTAAACCTGTTGCATTAACAGTATAACAATAAATCTGCTGGTTCTAGTTTCCTTCTCTTTTGTTACACAGAAGGTATTAAAGAATTGTTTCTGCCTTAAATGTTGCAAAAAACCGTGAAAAGTTATGTTGTATCTCAAAATAACTTTTTTCCACAAAAGACATTTTGGTTTGGTCATTTTGTCGACATTCTGCCTAAAGCTATCGCCATCCAAAACATTTACTGCCATGTCTGATGCGTCATGCATAACGCATTTGTCTGAAAAGTGAGATTTACTATCGATATCCGTTCACAATTGCGCTGCAATAAGTGCAATCTCTTTTAAACTCATTTGTGTTTTTCTACTTGCATTTTTATTTTAATTAATGCCACTTTCTTGTGAATTGCGATGTAAATGTATCTTCCCCTAACACCAGAAGCCCCTCAGTCTGCCTCCAGGCCCACTGAAAGCCACTAAGCTTCATATTCCTGCCACCATCCTTCTTTAATAATTACCCCATCCTTGAATTATGCACTTATTAATTTTTACGCTCAGCTGAACCCTGTAATGGCGTGTGCTGTAGTCGAGTGTGTTGGTAATCAGAAAGCCAAATGAGAAATCCTCGGCCGTGATGACGAAGCAGAACCACACATCAAAGTCAATGCGAACGCAATATGGCCGACCTTGAGCCAAAACGGCGACGAGCTCCTCCCGACGCCGCGGGAGAATAACGATTATGTTCACTGAACTGTGAATGCGCGGCCGACCTCATTATGATTATTGTTCCATTTGTTGCTGAGATGTGACTGGGCGTTGATGTAATGGAGTCACTTCATGAAAGGAAAATGACACGCATGCAAGGTGACAGTCAATTGGCCAAGATGGAAGCTGTCTTCATTCCGGCTTCGCTGTGCAACGCCGCGCCCTGAAAGTGTGCGCTCCCTCGTTCCTGTCAAATGTGCTGACTAAGCCGTTATGTCTTTATTAGATGTAAACTGACCTCAGGTTCACCAGGGCTCTCCAGCCCTGCTGGCACGAAAACCTCTAACAACAACAGCAGCAGCAGCACTCGGAGCTTTCCTCCGTCTCCAGGCTAAACATTTCAGGCCTCTCTCCAAATAAACCGCCAGAGCCTGCGCCAGGAAAGAAGAAACAGACCCTTTTTTTCTTTTTTTTTTCCAGAGGTATTGAGGGCGATGGAGAGGGAGAAGCCGCAGTTCTGTAATTAGTGAGTTTAGAGAGGGAAGGAGGGTAAATAGAGAGCGGGATGCAGCGAGCGAAGGGAAGCTTTTGAGAGGAAGAGGAGTTATTCAGTTGATTCCTTTTATTCGATGTTCCTCAGGCATCCTGATCAGCTCTGGCGGCTTAGCCTCGTCATTAACAGCTTTGGATTTAATTAGCAGTCATTAAGCCTCTGTTTTACTGGAGGAGCTCACAAATATTTAATCACTGTTTGGGTAATGTACCATGCGTAGCGTTGCTGATATGAATGCAAAGGGGAGAAACATGTTATTCGCTTAGCACTCTTTTATCGGTGCGCCGCGTCCGTAACGGATGCGGCCTAAACATTTAGACTTACACCAGGATGTCACGTTCACCAACTTTCTTCTTCTTTCCTCAGAAATTTGACACTGAACAAATGAATAAAGTACACAATGGAGCTGCTTCACAAAACAGGGGCAGAGATAACAAAGCAATCAAACCAAATCAATGCGAAGGCCCCCAGGCCAGCAACGATGCATAGTTAATTTTTACAGGTAACATAACGTGGATCTGAGAATTTCATCTCCACTAACTTGTTTTCCAGTTAGTTGCAAGTTTGAAAACCAGTGGGACTTGCTAACTGTTGTCATGATTCGGTGTGTTGATTGGAACCCAAAGGCAGACAAACAGAGGTGAGGAGCCGATGGTGACTTTTTAATGAAAGAAAAATTAAAACAAGAAGTTGAAATGCAAGAAGAGGAACACAGGGAGCGAGGGGCAGGAATAAACGGAAACCGGGTGTCTGAAGTTAACAAAAGGATCCAGCAAGGAGCGATTGAAGGAGAGGGGGTTGAATAGTGGGACGTTGATTGCTGGAACAATGGACTGGTGCTAATTAGGAAACAAGGTGCAGCTGTGAGGAGAGAGCAGAATGCAAGCTGAGGGAGAGAGAGGAAGAGATGGCACAGAGAGGCAAGGAGGGGGAATAAAAATTAACTAAACACATGGAATGAAAATAAACTGAAATAACTGTGAACAGACTGGTGTAAAGTAAACACAGATCACAAATGATCAAAAACCATGAACTCAGGAAAAGACAAAAACAAAACCAGATCCAGTCAGTAAAAAATCAAATCGATACTCTGAGTTTTTTTTTTTTTTGCATCTAAACTCCAAAGGATCTTGTCATAATCACATGTGCAGATTGCTGTGAGCCACTGATTTAACGTCAAACAAGAAGACAGAAAAGCTTTTTATAAAGTCCAGATCTCTTACTACCTGTAAACAGCTGACATGTGAAACTTTCGGGTTGGAACTGATGAGACATTTTTCAACTTTTCAAGTTGTTTTTTTTTATTGTTATGTTGAAGGTCATGACTTACTACTGTGAGGTTCACACTTTGTGAGCCTTGTGAAAATTATTGACACGTGGATGTAGTTGTCAGAAGAACAAACTGAATTTGAACTTTTTTTTTTGTACCATAAAGAGTTTATATTTAAATACTGCGGCTGAAATACAGTTAAACAAACCAACTGAATGAGTCGGTGAATTCATTTGGCCTGACCAAAGTATTTACTCTTCAAATTGTGTGATTTATTCAATAAATCCTGGAGATATTAAAGTCAAGACAAACACATCACGTTTAGGGAGTTAATTGTTGCCTCGTTATTTATTTATGAAGCTAGTTGTGTTAAACACAGTATTTAACTGTACAGACAGAGACAAATAACTTTGGTTTAAAAAAAAAGAAGTAAAAAACTCTTAAGTATTAAACATACTCTCCATTAAAAGTTTTGTTTTTTTTACTGGTCTGACGCATTATTCCACTTTTAAACAGGGAAAACAGGTGCAGATAGTTTGTCTTCCCTCTTTATTAATCTTTATCGTTTCTTCACTCGTCTTCCTAGGCTCTGCTTGGAGGCCAGGGACCCGTACTGCGGCTGGGACTTCAGGCAGCGCAAATGCACGACGCTGGAGGAAAGCTCCAACATGAGCCAGTGGAAACAGAACATCACCGTTTGTCCGGTAGGACCGACCTCGCTCGCTCGCTCACTGCGTTTACTGCACGCATCCATCGGGCTTTCTGTCGCACAGCCCAAACTCAGCAGGTTGTTTATCTCTGCACACGTCAGCGTTTACATCACTGCGTCTGTCTTCTGGTGAAATGTCAATAAACAGTAGCGACCCGGAGCCTCTGGACGTCAGGAAGCCGCCATGTGTTGAACACATGAAGTATGTGTTGGATTATGAGGCTTTCCTGAGTTTTTTCAGACCTTCTCCTCTTGTCGTCCTTCTATGTGGGAGCTCAGGTTATTCTGCCCAAGGATCTGTGTTTATGACCTGGACTCACATTGTTTTTCTTTGCTATTATTTAGTGTCTGTTTATTGGCAACTATGTGATTTCATATCAAAGAGATAAACAAAAAACTAAATTCTCCATGATTAGAGAACACCAAATCTTACCAAGTAATTTTAGTCTTGTTTCTAGTGCAATTATCTTATTACACTTGAAATAAGTGAAAACTAACATGCAAGTATCTCTTCAGCAAGGAGCTCGTTTTAAATAAATAATTCCTTAATATTGGTGAAAAAGTTTTTTTTTTTCCCGCTGGCAGATAAATTTACTCATTACAAGACAATTTACCCATTTATAAGTGAAATAATCTGCTAATGGGACAAATACTTTTTCACCATGATTAAGGAGTTTTTACTCAAAACAAACGTCTATATCTTGCGTACAATTTACTTTTATGTTAGTTTTGTCTTAATTCAAGTTTACTAAGATAATTGCATTAGAAATTAGACAAAAATACTTGGTAAGATTGTATGTTTTTGCAGTGTGTGCAATGATAAAACTAAGATATTCTCTACGATTGGAAAGTCTGAATGTTCCAGAAAGAGAAAAAAAGGATTTTGAGATTCTTTAGGGCAGCTTTAGAAGATGAAGATTAATCTGTTTTACAAATTTAAAAATGAAACAATATCAAATAAGTAAGTTTTCCATCAGTAGCTCGAGTGCAGTCAATTGTAAAACCTGTGTTGCTTTTTCATTCCTCGAACATTCACTTCACAGTGGACTCTCACAGTGAAAATGATGTTTGTCCTCCAGCTGCGGAACCAGACCATCGACGGCCGCTTCGGGTCCTGGACGCCGTGGCACCCCTGCAGCAACGAAGACGCCCTGGACGGCGTGAGCTCCTGTTTGTGTCGCTCCAGATCCTGCGACAGCCCCGCCCCTCGGTGCGGCGGCAAAACCTGCGCAGGGCCAACCATTGAAGTCTCAAACTGCTCCAGGTCAGAAGAAAAAATTTATTTGTTTCAGTCGTAATATAATTTGTGCTGAGTTATAAACTAGGACATCTTCAAAGTTATATACACTTAAAATGGCTCAAAGTCACCCATATGCATTTCCTTATGCATGCTAGCTGCTAGCAGGCTGCTAGCATGTGCTAACTAAGGTAAAAGAAAGGTACCTAAACTAAACAAATGTTCTCTAGCGTGTGCCAAAGTCACTGACACAAGATATACATCTTACCATTTTTACTTTATTACACAGAGGTTCAGTAAAATGTGTTGTGTAATTCAAAATGGCCGCCTGTGAAGATTTGATGAGCCCTCTTCTTGTCTCAAATCCAAACAAACTGGACTCTGCGCTTGATTAAAACCACAAAACTATTATTACAGATTGTTTCACTGGCATCACACCATAACTGTAGCATTGATTTTGATCACAGGAGGTTCTGGTTTGTTATTTAGGTGACACCAAGTTTCCCCCTGAGAAATTCCTAACTTCCTTTGTCTTCAGCAGAATGGGCCAATCACAGAACAGAGACAAAGAGTTGAAGCTCTTTCATCCCACTAGTAGCTATGGCAGATTTAATCCTTGGTATGGAAATTAAATTGTGCTTTTGTAGAGAGTGGCAATTAAATCATGAGGAGAGCTTCCCAGGAACAAAGCACTTAAGCAAATTGAGTGAATGTTTCCTAGTCAGAATGAGCTCGTTTTTGTGTGTGTGTGTGTGTGTGTGTGTTTCTGCTCACAGAAGTTCAGAATTAGAGCAGTGAGTTAAAATGCAGAGCTGAAAAGGTATTTTTGTATCCTCTAATTCAGCATCGTATTAACGCCTCGTGAGAAAACAATGTTAAGTCATTAGTGGAAAAATTAGCTTTCTGGATAAAAGCAGCCCCGGAGGTGGCTAACGTCTGCCTGTGCGTCTGTTGCCATAGAAACGGAGGCTGGACACCGTGGTCGTCGTGGGGACAGTGCAGCACGACCTGCGGCACAGGCTTCGAGCTGCGCCAGCGCTCGTGTAACAACCCGTCACCCCGGCACGGCGGACGCGTGTGCGTGGGGCCCACCAGGGACGAACGGTAAAATGATCACTTCTAAATAAACCTTTGCATTAATTCCCTTAGAAAACTACATTTAAAGTTTAATATCCAAACATAAGCATAAACGCATAAACAAAAAAGTTTGATACATGTTGTTTAATTCATAGAAGGAGCTTTAACCCTATTAAGATATTATATTTCTTTATGCAATTGGTACTTAGTAATAATAAATTATGCTTTGTGGATCATAAAATCCACTAAACATGGTCAGATTTTGCGACTGGACTTTATCATACTTAGGGAAGTTTCCACATTGTGTCTAAATTACGTAGTTATGCATCATATGAGTTTAAGTTTAATTTTAATCTTAATTAGAAAAGACTCCATCTTCTCTTAAAACAATTCATATCAAAGAGATTTTTCTAATGCCATTTTTACCTTCATTGACTCATTCAAAAAAATGTTTTTATGCAAACTTCTTGAATGTGCAATTATAGATTTGAAGACAGACGAGGGCTGAATGGTAAAAGAAGGGTACTGAATTATGTCATATTATGTTTTAAAATATGTTGGCAGGTAATTTAACGCCTAACCTTGATCTAACTTAGCCGTCAATTTCGATCGAAACTTGATGAAATTCTCCGGTGACATTTTGCGACTTTCAGCCACATTCAGCAAACTGAACACGTCCCACCACCGTCTTCTCAACAGGTTCTGCAACGAGGGCGTGTCGTGTCCTCAGCCCATTTTCTGGACGCCGTGGGCCTCGTGGACCAAGTGCAGCACAGAGTGCGGCGGAGGCGTCCATTCCAGGGTCAGGTCCTGTGAGAACGGCAACAGCTGTCCAGGATGTGCACTGGTAGGGAAAACACACACTCACAAAAACACACTCCGACTCAGAAAATCACAAGTGGTGGGTGTAAAAAAAAACAACAAAAAAACAATTAAACTGATGCAAAAGGGTTAAACATGAGTTTGGTATTATTTTTTTAACTAGCAAGGGAAAAATAAAACATTATCAGGATATTAAAAAGAAAACAAAACAGCTGACAGTGGAAGATTTTAATGACATGCAACGTAACGTAACTCTTACACAAGAAAGAGTCACGACTACAAAGTTTATATCAATAAATGCAGCACATATTATGCTTCTTGTATTGACAGAGAAGAATCTGGTGAATAACCCAATCCTGATGTCCCGAACAACTGAATAATGCTAGTTTATGTTAAAGTAACTTTATTTCTAATAAACATTAGTGACAGTAGTGTAAAGAAAGAAAGAAAAAAAGAAAGAAAGAAAGGACACCCATGCCCACATTTGAAGCAAAACCTGCTTAAAGTTCTCATTTTTAAAATATTTTTCAATCTTCCTCACTGGAAAACATAATTTATGACATATTTAGGAAATCTTTTTAGAAGGAAATTCTGACTGAAATCAGAAAATCAAATCAAAATAAAAAATAAGATCAAATTAACTTCATCTCACACTCTACAGCTCAAAGTGAATATGGTGAATGAAAATTATTTGACACTTCTTCAGTAAAAGACTCTACTTTTGAAACTACTTTAGGTTGTTTTAACATTAGAATAAAATCCTTTTGTGTGCAAAAAAGCTTCGGCTAACGAAGCTTCTTCTAAACGTAAATAAGACTTTTGGCACAGCGTCCTCTGAACAGATGTATCCAAATTAGAGCTAACAGCCACAACAGATAGCATCTGGAGAAAAACCAACACATAGTTTTAATACACACGCCTCAGACCACAAACATAGTGGTGATGGTGAGGATTTGAGCGAAACGCACCTTTGCTGTCTGAATCAGCAACAGAATAAGTAAAAAATATTAATCTAAGCCAACAGAAACTGTGTCTCTGATGATGTAACAGAAAGATAAAGTCACACCAAATTTATGCTTTTTATGTAAGCAGGATGCAGAATTTCTTTACGTCCCAATTTAATCTAATTTAGGAAATGCTAGTGTAAAACAAATAGCCACTTTTCTGCTTTTCATGTATGAGTAAAACTTGTCTGTGAATGTCCACTGTGTCCTGTAGGAGTACAAGGCCTGCAACCTGGAGGCATGTCCAGAGGTGAAGAGGAACACGCCTTGGACGCCCTGGATGCCGGTCAACGTGACCCAGGGCGGGGCCCGCCAGGAGCAGAGGATGCGCTACATGTGCCGGGCCCACCTGGCCGACCCCCACGAGCTGCAGATCGGACGGAGGAAGGTGGAGACGCGCTTCTGTCCAAATGACGGGACGGTGGTCTGCGATACGGACAGTAAGTGGCGGACGCAAGTACAGCTCTGAGTTTACAGCAGCCAATGAGGAGGCAACTCTGCCACCTCGAGATGTCTGATTGCTCGACTCATTTTTCTTTTCGTAGGTTTAACGGCTCGCTTATAGGTCAAAGTGATAGCGTAGCGATAGATTCTGAGGTATTGCAAAAGATAAGGACTATTACTGCACCCACTCAATGTCCAGAGAACATGACGAGATGAGCAGCAGCACATATTTGTATTCACAGAGTCACACTGGAGTTTTAAATTTCGCTGTGTTTCATATTTGCAGCGGTTTTCTGTCATGTAAACCAGACGCAGATTTCGAGGAGCCGGGCTGAATACATTTGTCCTAATATTGGGTTTTATTTTGATGCAGCTGTGATCGATGGTGCGCTGCCTGGCTTTCTACAGCCCATTGACATTTCCATAATTCTTTTCCCCAAGCAGCAGATAACATCAGTGTCATGAATTAATATTTTTTTCACCAAAGGAATTTTGATGCCTACGGGTTTGGGCTGTTTTACGTGCTGCGGCGCGTTTCGTGGCTAGTCTTCAGGTTTGAGCTGCCAATCCATGCCAGTTATAAAATAGCAGTCTCTCTCTCTCTCTCTCTCTCTCTCTCTCTCTCTCTCTCTCTCTTTCTCTCTCTGTGGCTTATTGTTAGACAATGTAGATCCTATAATGCTAATATTTCTAAAATGCTTCCAGCATTGCCAAACCCAACATGTTCAGCCACATTGCTAAAGCTCAAAGGGATAAAACAGAGAACATTTGATGTACTTCATTCAGCCTTCCTGTTATCTGCTGAACCTGAACTCCTTTTAAACAGCTTCTTACATCTTTATGCTTCCTGACCTCTCTAATAATGGAAGTATCTGTCCTCTTCAGTAAAAATCCAGTCCTACACCAAAGAGTGTTGTTAAGACATGAGCTGGTAGTGCTTATGTTGTGTGTTGATTGTTTTGGAAAAAGACTTTTGGGTTTAAACCAGATGGTTAAAGACGCTTGTTAAGCTGACATTTGGCTTATTCTGGTCTCTGGTCTACTTATCAGTGGATCTCCAATTTTTAGGAATTAAAAAGAAACGCACACAAGAGACGTATTCATAAAGCTATTTGTGTGCAAACCAGAAATGTCTCATTTTTAAACTACTCACAAAGAAATATTATCCCTTAAATAGCACTTCCCTAGCAAATAGCATTTCTCTCCACTGACACACTTCCCACATTTAAATCTCCATGATTTTTAGGGGAAGTTCTGCCTTTATTTATGTGTAAATTACAGCCGTAGAAAATTACTTTGCATTCTAAAAAACCATAATCATTTGCATCTGCATGTATCCAGGGCATCTGTGTTACTTTCTGTTGCAAAAATAAAGCAAATGCCACATGAAAAACGTTGCAAAAATACCAAAAAACCCAACAAAAGTTAGCAGATTGCACCGCTTTGTGAATTCCCCTTCGAAACGCGGTCAGCGTAGCACCAGGGTCTGATTTCAAATTGTCCATCTGTTTGCTGCAGCTGTTTTCATTCGTTAAGATTCCAAAACAAGCCCTAAAAAATGACATCATTATGGTCGGTAGTGAAGATTAATTTCATAGTTAACGGGAAGTAGAATTTGAGTTGGTGATAAACCTGAGTGGCCTGGATCAGCTGTCATTCAGAGAGCAGAAGTCTTAAGAGCACCAAGCTAAAGGCGGCAGGAGCTTGATAAATAACTCAGCCGCAGAAAAACGCTGCAATCGTGGAAGAGCAGAGTGTTTTGTTTACATCTTTGAGTAATTAGCAATAGGACAGATGACTTTGCAGAAGCATGCTGTAGCATCCGCTGCTGCCGTGTTGTTTTTCTCCTGAGTATCACAATAATAATCTGCCAAATGTATTTGTTGCAAAATGAAAAAGATCCAATTTTATAAGAAAAATTATCAAATAAATCAAATTAATAATGGAAAAATGGTTGATAATTCAAATGAATAAAAACAGTCTTTATTTGAAATAAAGATTTTTTTTTTCCCCAGTTTAATCAAAGTGGACATAATAAGGCCAGTTTTTGGTTATTCAACTTCGCTTTTAGTTAAAATTATTTTCCAACAATTTACTGATTTTAAGGACTTGATGTACTTTTTCTTACAAAACCACATTTAAATATCATGCAGTCAATGAATAGCAGTTGTGCAATCCTTTGTAGGCTTATTACTATGTTTTGAAAGGATTCCAGCTGAACTGGATCCCACTCACCCTGTCCTGCCACTCAATTTTTTTATTTTATTTAACCTTTATTTTACCAAGATAAAATCCCACCGAGATAAAAAAACAAACAAACAAACAAAAAAAAACCCTCCTTTTCAATTGACGGGGAGCTGCGTACACAGTGCAGATTCTGTTCAACATTGGTTTTCTTTTTACCACTGTAAGGTTTGATGGCTTACAGTCGGTCTATCACAGGGGCCTTTTGGCTGATTATTGCTTTCCTTGCCTGACTTTTCAGTTTAGGTCGACGACCATGTCTTGGTATTTTCGAGACTATAAGTCACTCTGGAGAATAAGTCGAATTAGTCAAATAATGTGATGTGAATTGGAGATAAAGAAACATAATGATTCCCTGGTCTGTAAGTTTCATTTATTTAGAAGTTGTCAGACATGAGGGAGATCTTGTCCATGTTAATGATATGATCCTGTGGCACTTTTTGTTCAACCAACCTATGGAAACTTTTGACTGTATTGGACGTCTGCCGGCAGTTTCTGACACACCAGCGTCCATGTTCTAAAATCGGGGAGTCAGGAATAACCCGCTCCTCCGGTGAAGCGCGCAGCGGGGCAGAGACGCATGCAGTAAATATATGGTGACAGAGAGGATGTTGCGTAGCATGAACAGCTAACACCAAGAAGACCCTTGCTGCAAATTCAATTATATTTATCTCCTTGGCAACTACCAGGACGTGGAGATGTAGCTGAACTGTTTAGGATCATCAACAGCTGTTCCAGGTGTTTCAAAAAGTAGCACCGACAGACAGACACAGCTATCTAAAGTAGGAATGTCTGACGAGGTAGCAGATCGTCAGAACGCGGGCAGCGTGTTCACTTGTTCCTCGGGCTTTGGCCAAACAATTAGCTTACCTCGCTGCTGCAGTTTGTAATGTTTGTGTCATGTATGTCTCTATGAATTATGGAAAAAAAGAAGACGTATATAAGTCGCTCCTGACTGCAAGTCACAGAACCAGCCAAAGTATGAAAGAAACTGTGACTCTTGCCTTGAGGGACAAAAGTCAGAGTTTGAATCCTGGCCTGGAGTCTTTCTGCGTGGAAAGTCCAAAATCATGCCAGAAAGGTTAATTGGTTCTTCTAAATTTTCCCTTAGGTAAGAGAGTGAGTGTGTGTGTGCATGGCACACACGGCGAGAAGCAAGCATGTAAAGATTTCTTGCAGCAGATCCATGATACACCCCCACATCCCCCCCGCCCCGTCAGACCCGTTAGCTCCGCTACACGCTGTTAGTGACGGGATCATAGTCCGGTACTAAACGCACCCACTGACACACAGGGAGTCGCACACAGCAGCAGACTGATGTTTGCCACTGGTGGCCTTTTCACACAGCCCTCTCCTACATCGATTACCTGTCTCCCCCTGTCAGCCTCCCGCGGGTCGGCTGCATCGACTTTAACAAACTGATGAAACACCGACAGCAGGGAACTGTGGGATGCAAAAGATACAGACCTTGAGGAGAGAGACGGTGAAAAATGCCTCTTGGTCGATTTGCATGCTTCCTATCGCTGTTTGTCGATACCAGCTGTGGTTATGATTCTTCACCTTGAATCAAACTTGGGTACTTTAATTTAATTTTATTTATTTTTTATTTTTTTAATCTCTCCATCTGCAGGCCTGGTGGAGGAGTTGCTAAAAATGCCAGTGGTGAGAACGGCGGGGACGAGCTGGTCGTCGTGGGAGACCTGGTCCAGCTGCTCTCAGAGTTGTGCCAAAGGTTACCGCACCCGTCGGCGGACCTGTTCCGGGCCGGAGGGGAAGAGCGCCCCCGTGGCGTGTCGTGGTTCCCCTGTGGAATACCAGGACTGTAATGTGCAGGCATGTCCCGGTGAGTGAGTCCAACTCGGCTACCTTCACTGTGACGGAGAAAGAATCTCAAAGCAAACAGGTTGCTCAGATCAGGATTTATGTTTAGATAGATATGCATTTAGTTTTATTACTGTACTTGAGGATCAGCTAGAATATCCTTCAGTTCATTATTCACATTGCATCATCTCTGAATTGTCTTCTTTGTAATCCTACTTGTTACTCTTTGTTTAAGACATAGATGAGCCTGCAGTGTCTGTGAGATATTTCAGGCATTTCAGGATGACTATCTATTTTGGGAAAGAACATCTCCCCTTGGTACGGACATAAGAGCTATAAAACACATTGAGTGCACATAGAAACCCCCCAAAGCCCAATAAGGTCCTGTTATAAAAAAAAAATACTGTTATTGCACTTTGTGAATTATAGACTGAACTGCACTTGTTTCCTGTGAAATGTGCTGAAGGGTCGACTCCTAAAAGAGTTCAACAACACCTGTCGTTTTAGAGGGGCTTGTAAAAGTATTCATGACTCTTAATGTTTTTCACATTATGCCACACTATGACCAAAACCTCAGAGATTTCACTTGTATTTTTACGGTACATATCTAGTGTCTGATTGTGAAATGGAAGGGAAATGATGCATGGTTTTCAGATTTTTCCACAAACAACTCTTTGATGCATGTCTTTACCAGCTGTGCAGATCAAAACACCCAACATATGCAGGGTGGATGCTGCCTACAAACAATGATTTTTAAGTGTCTCCATTGAATTTAGCTCATGGACTTTGACTAGACCATTCTAACACATGATTATGATTTAATCTGAACCTTTCAAATGAAACTCTGGCCCAGTCTGAGATCCTTTGAAACTTCTAGTAAAATAGTCTGGCACATTTAGCATATTGGGCAAAGAGTTCAAACGGGTGGAACAAAGTATTTACATTTGTATTTTTTATTTTTTTTAACGGGGGAAACATGTTTCCAAATTTTCAAGATCCAAACTGCCTATTTGAACAATTTGAATGGAGACATTTGTCAGTACGTAGAAAGTTGTTCTTGTAACATGGCAACACAGGGAAAAGGTCAAAGGGTATTAATTCCTGTCCAAGGCACTTTATGGCAAGTTTTAATATTCCGAACATGGAACATTAGCTTCAAACAAACAGGTTAACACCCGTACACATGATACTTTCCAAATGTAAAACATTAAGTTTACTTGCTAGCTTACCTCAACAACAGCTCTTTCTAAAACTGTATTTACTGTAGGGGAAAAAGCAAGAAGTAAGCTGATGTAAAGTCTTTTATGCTGATGTCTCCAGCACATTATGGGTTCCTAAAGAAAAGGGAAGCAAAAAAAAAAAAAAAAAGAGACCGCTGTAGAGACAGAGTGCTGGGGGTCAATGATAGTTATAGAATACTGCTGAGTGGGCAATTAACGTCATTAGCTAATGGTTACCAGCAGCTGCAGCCAAGCAGGAAGAGTTCCCGAACAAATGAAGTTATCTGTTTCAAACTCCTCATCAAACCATCATAATCAGCTGACCCGGAAAAGGCGCTGGACCGGCTCTGTTTATTAAACACACACACACTCCTTAAAACAGACAAACGCATAAAACAAGCAGCCACAGCGAAGGGCCTCCTCTGAAGAGATGGACCTTTATCTTCTTGCCTGATATCTTCTGAATTATTGATTTGTGTTTGGCTGCTTGAATCTGCGTTTGAATGTTAATTGTTGGCGTTCAAATGAAGTCCTTACTTAGAGAGACGTAACCTCGGGTGGCCCGGATGGCAGCGAGGAGACGTTTTACCAGTTCTGTCACGTTTCCGCGTGGCCCCCCGAAGGACGTGCAGGTGAGAAGGACGAGGCCGGCGACAGAAGAGAGGATGAGTGTGAAATAGTAATTGATGATGAAATTAGAGGGCGGGATGGAGGCAATGAAGATGGCCGAAGAGATTAAAATATGTCCGTCTGTGCAGTGGAAGCGGTTGTCTGTGGGTCCGATCGGCGAGGCGGTCAGAGGACAGAGCTCCGGCTTTCATTAGGTTTGGACTGACAAGAGGTTTGATTTAAAGTTAAATTTAAAAAGAACAAAATCCCAGTTCGCTTTTGAGAGTCGAACGTGAATTTGTTAGCAACATTTTTAAACTTTAAAAGCGCACACCAAGCCTCTACTCAAGAGGAGTATTTGATTCAGTCACAAAGCCGTTCGTCTTCTTAAACTGAGTCTCAAGACTTACCAAATGAACTCCGAGAGTAAAACTCTGAAAATCTAAGTATTTTCAAAGCCACACTGCTGAATTTTTGCTTTTTGCCAATGACTTTTACATTGTGGGGTGAACAGAAAATAATTTGTGCCGCACTTGTTTCTGCCTGCAGAGAAGAAAAATATCAAAAGATATCTACAACTAACCAGACGTGGGCGTTTTTTAACAGTATTAGCAGCAGAAACACCACGGTTTACAGTATCGTGGTATTTAACACAATTGGTGATGATGGATAGATTTCTTATTAAAGTTATGGTAATTATTAAAACATTTTTTCAATTTAATACACAGACTTGAGCCACATTAATATGTTTACAGTTAGTTTTTGCCAGTCTGGCCTTTAAGCCGTAGCTCTTGGAGGTTAACAAGCTGATATTAATTCTCTGCTTAGCTAACAAGTCTGAAGTGAAATGCTTAACACACGCTGAGTTTCCCAACAGCCAAACTGCTTCTGTGCAGTAGCCGTGTTTTAGCTAGCTGACCAGTTGTGTGCAGCAACAGGTGGGGGAAGGGAAGTTCTGCCCATTTGTGACTATATCCAACAATAATTCTCAGTATGGTTGTTTTTTTTTTTAATTTTTACAAATCTGACTAGATTTATTTGTCGCTGCCCGTTAAGTTTTGATTTTTGATTGATAACCAGAACTGTTTGACTAATGAGACCCAAAATGTGGCTGGTATGAAACAACAAAACTACTGATCCCATTTGCTGCACAGAGAACAACTCCAGCTTTCATCTCTTCACCTGTTTTAACTCTTTAATTTATAAACATTTTTACCATTTTGTACCTGTAAACAAACCAACTTGTACCTGTGTAATTAAACCGATCCTCCAATTTAATTTGAGCTTAGTGTTTTCATAAGGATAGGAGACAAACAGTCCTCAAAATGTCTAAACTGCTTATTACTCTATGTTCCAATTTATCGTATCATTTTCCCATTATAGACTAGAAATAGGATATAGAAGATCATTCCAGATAGCTGTCTGTCGAAGCAGGTACAAAACGTTCCCATGTACAAATTGGCACTTGGTTGGTATGAAACTTCCTGGACGAACCAAAACTGCAGCACCGACGCAACAGCAGTTAAAAAGCTTGAGTGTCATTTTATAGTTACCAGAATGTTAAAAAGTAGAACTTGATTTCCCTGATAAATGTGTTCTAGCTCAGGGAATATTTTGATATTTACGGTTTATCGGGGTGACTTCCTATAACTCGGTGAGTCAGACGCTCATCCAGTCAGGTTAGAGTCAATCAGTCGGAGACGTGGCTCGCTGTGAGAGCCGGTTAGCGTTAAATAGCAACATCCTGCTTCTCCCGCTGTCATCCTCTCTGCTAAACAAGTCTCCACTCTGCCTCTCAAGTTACCTGGCAACGACGCCTCCCTGCCTCCGTCAGGCAGACATCAGCCAGTCAACCAGACGGTCAATGAGTCACCCGCACTTTTCTGATTAGATCAGACGAGGCATTAGCAGTCCCTCCGCTTCCCCCCCACGGGAAGAAGAAATCGGTACGTTACTCAGGTAGGAGAAGACGTAGGAGGAGGTGTGATCAGTGAGACGGCAGCAGAACGGCACAAACGTGTTGTTTATGTCCCACAGTGATCTCTAGTTTACCCCAAAAAAACACATCTAAATATACGGAGCCTAGTGAAGTTGAAGACAGATTGCATTTAATGTTGCTGGACGTGTGGAAAACTCAGTTTGATGGGCTGGAATAGAACGGGCGCAGCTTTGTTAGGCTTCATTTTGTCACATATTGTAAACTTAATTCTGCGCTAAATTTTTATTTTTTTATTTTTTGTTAATACAAACTGAAGAATTTAAGCAACAGCTTCATCCACTACCATCCTCCATGTTTCACAGGGCAGCAGACCACAGACAAACATCTGTAAAGATGTGACTGCAGAACCAGTTATTCCTGAGTAGTTTGTATCTGGTCTGCTGCTGAACTCCTTCTTAAAGTGTGTCAAATGATAGCAACAACCAAAGCAGTTCTTATTTTTAGGACAGGGACCTGTTTTGTCTCCAAACTCTACTTACTGCTTTCACTTGGACGGTGTGATATTCTCTGTGGTTTTCGATATGGAAAATGTGAAAACACTGACACGGGGGCAACCTCAAGATTGAAATCTCTTGAAAATAAACCCACTTAAACACATCTGTTGTGTTGCACAGCTGGGTGGAAAATCAGAAAACAGTTGTTTTTATTCATATTTTATTTGTTTGCCCTTTAAATTCGCAGCTTCATTTCTGTAAGTATTCCCAAAACATCTCCCGTGAACCGCTCTTGTTGGAGTTCAGTCGTTTGACCCCTGTGGACATTTTTTTATTAGATAGTGAACTGAAATGAATCCAGGCTTGTGATAAGAGCTTGCCTTTCCTCACAGAGTGTAATATTTCAGTGTTAAATGGCTTCCATGCTGCTTTGCACCACACACAAAGGCAGTATAAACTAATGTGTGTGTGTGTGTGTGTGTGTGTGTGTGTGTGTGTGTGTGTGTGTGTTGCAGTGAAAGGTGCGTGGTCCTGCTGGTCTCCCTGGTCTCAGTGCTCAGTGGGCTGCGGCAGCGGCCACTACCAGCGGACACGCTCCTGTAACAGCCCCGCCCCCGCCAACGGAGGAGACATCTGCATAGGCCTGCACACCGAGGAGGCCCTGTGCAACACACACACCTGTGACGGTAAGGTCCCGCTTCAAATTCAACGTCGCAACTCAGATGTGGCTATTTATAGCGCCTCGCAACAACGTCTGCGTTGCTCTCTATAGTGTTTCAGGTTTATAGCCACAAATCCCAGTGGGATTTTTACGTGATAATGAGACCAACAGAAATAACGTAAGAGACATTTGTGTGAGTGCGAGGAAAGATATCCACGCTTTTCAAAATTGCGAGTAGTTACAAATGAAACTCAACACATATTTGTTTTCAGCCTCCATTTAGGTCCATCAACACGGACACAAATAATCGTAATAAAAATGTAAACAACAATGGCGTGGTTTATGCCAAATGATATTGATGTGTTTGAATGAAAGTCTGTGGCTAAACTCGAGAAGATCTTCACAGACACGTTTCCTCCAATCAGGATCAGCTTCGGCTATATTGCAAAGAAGAAAGAGCAGAAATGGCTCTAGATGTTCAAAGGCTCCTGTCTTTCCAGTGAAAAGCTCATAATGCAAAGACTTGCATCATATGTGTTGAGTTCAAACACTAAAACCCACTGAGATACATTGAAGTTTGTGATTTCAACATCCACCACACACACAGGCATGGCGCCGTGCGCCTGTGTCATTTCTGTGCTGCCCCCTTCGGTGAGTCGGCTTCAGTGTTTTGTTTTTTTTTTCTGATGAATTAAGAGAGTCTTTCATGAAATGGGAAGATAAACGTTCATGCTGAGAAAACAAGCCGCCCCTCTTGCTGTGCAGCCGGAGCTCTGAGCGCCATGGCAACCCCTCTGAGGAGCGTCAAAAAGAGACACCATCATGCTGAGAAGCATATGGAAACTTTAGCGTAACACATCCGAATGTTTGGCATTGTGCCTGTGAGCAGGGTGTTGATATTACTAGTAATAAAAAAAAACATCAGAGCGAAATGTTTAAATTTTTTTAGTTTAGTCGTTTAAAACGGGGGGGAAATACCAAGATCTCATTTATTTCAACTCAAAAAGTTTTTTGTACACTCAAAGTTTTTATAACTCACAATTCAGTGGAGTCTGGCGTCTCTTATGCTTCCTGTCTTGGTTCATTGAAGCTATGAGCACTCGCTGAAGGTGCCTCGTAACTTTTTACTTTCACTCTCTCCCGAAAAATGTTTCTCCTCTCACTGGAGTCACTGTGAGAGGAGAAACATTTCCAAGTGGGTTTTTTCTCCACCCGGCTGCAAAATCACCCGCATTATATTTGCCGTTTGCTGTCTTGTGTAAGTGGCCTAGAAAATGCAAGCAGTAGTTGGAGATGAGCAATAAATAAATAAAACTAACTGTCCACTACATTGTTTTCTAAAGCTGTTAACTCGTGTAATTTACAGGATGCTGTGCATTAACAACTCCGTAGCTAAATGAAACAATTCATTCCCCTTGAACTTTTTTGTTTTTTTACTGTAAAAACACAGAATCTCACTACATATTTTATGTCTGGTTTCTACTTCAAACATCTTTGTACGCTTTAAATAAGACAAAGCTAACTTACATGTAGCCTTTCAGCAAGATATAGGAGTTTGTTGCAAGCCAATAATTCCTTAATATTCATTTGCTGTGTCCCTTATATGGCATCCGTCTAACTGGACTTCTTGTTTCGTCACTCGTCAAGCCAGATTTGTTGAGTGCAGGACGTTGCTTGTCCCGTTGAGACCTTCTTGCACCTGACTGGTGGATTTTACAACTTTTCAGAGCAGTCATAGTGCCTCTTCCCAGTAAAAAGCATTTCAAGGTCCTGGCTTAGTCGGCCTCCAGACCTGAACCCGGTAGAAAGTCTTTACAGAGAGCTGAAACTCTGCGTTGCCTAGCAACAGCCCTAAAACTCGAGCAATCTGGAGTAGACCTGCATGGAGGAGTGGAGCCAAGATGTCTGCTGTAGTGCAAACCTGGTCAAGAACTGCAGGAGACCTCTGACCTCTGTTACTGTAAGCAAAAGTTTCTGTAAATTTATTAAACTAATTTCCCTTTTCAGGATCAATTAAACATTTTTTTTAATTGAATTGTATCAAATACGAACTTCTCATTTTCTGTTGTGTCAAAATATTTATTTTCTGCAATAAAATGCAAATGAATTACTTAAAAATCATACATGCACAGTTGAGGTGTACCCATGATGTAATTACAGAGCTCTCCGTTCTTTGCAAGTGGGGAAACTTAAAAACAATCACTGCTGTATCAAACATTTGCTTTTCCTACCTTAAGTTGTATCTAATTTTCTTACAGATGACAAAATAAAGCAGGTTGAATTAACATCGTATGCATTCAGACTTTTGCCCTGACAGAATGAGCCGGACGCTACGTGGGAAGTATAAGAATCGTCTTCTTCCTTTCTGTTCCCACATGGCCACTGAAAGATTCATGACATCAGTTTCCTAATCTGAGATGATTACGAATCAGATCTCCTAGGGTTTTAGCCCAACTCTGATTCTTCATTTTTTAATATCAAATGACCAGTGTGTGTGTGTGTGTGCGTGCATGTGTTATTTAAATCATAAATCATTCTCATGGAAATCAGAAATGACCCGGGGTCGTTGATGTGTAAATCTTGCGTTTCGACGCCTGACTTACATTTGTTGTTGTCCGTCTGAATTAAACGAGAAATGACAGCGTCTCCTGAGCTGTCATTTCTCTCAGATGCTTTTCATTCTGAATCAATCAAACTGTCATTCACAGAGGGACTAATGCACACTGCCAGCCTCCTTGGTAATTACAAAGAGCACCTAATGGCTTTGTGCCATCAGGCTCTGTTATATCATCTTAATGCTTTCCTGTTTGACGTGAACCAACACATCCGGTTAACCCCGCATCAGGCCCAATCTGTCTGCTTCTCTGCTCGTACACTAGCGAGCAGGAAAGCCCTCATCTGTCGGGGTTGTCCTGGTGCAACAGCTGTGTGTGCATGTGTAATCACTGACGGGCTGTCAGTCACCAGGTTAGTTGACGCTCCTGTTCGAGGTCGTTTTGTTTTAATTTTAAAAAGTACAGCATTCAAAATTTGTCAGACATCTTCTGGTTGTTGGTTTTTGTACAGTTTTACCTCCCAATATGGACTTAAGATCTGTAATGCTGAATGTTTTTCAGTCCGTTTGTGTGCAGGCCTGCTCACACGTCAGCCAATAATCAGTTTATTCAGCCTGCTTATTGCTCTGCTGCCTGAAGACTGCCAGTATTTTCTGATGCTGATTGGGGAAAAAAGTTCAGCGTTTAGTCTGCACCAGCAAGACACCTTGAGTCAGCTGTAGTTGTCATGCCAGGCCACTAGATAGCGCTGTGATTTTAGCATGTCATCAAACGCGCATGAGCTTTTGACACTTCGGTTCCACCTCACTGGCTTCCATCAGTAACCTGTCTCCCAAGTGCTCATATAATATAGATGTACCTTATCAGAAGTTGTGCTAAGCTAAACAGGTTAAGTAGCACAACACAGCACAAAGCTATCCGCTATTATTTCTGTTACTCCTCCCTGCAGGCGAAGCGTAAATCCTACAGTCGTGAGTTTTTTGGATTAGTACTTCTCGTCTCTTTGTGTCACAGAAAAGCTTCAGATGATGTCAGATGCTAATGTGTTAGCATTCCTAAAGTTGCCAGCATTTCTGAATCAACCATTTACAGTAACTCTTCTCTTTCTCGTTATCTTCTGTGAGTCTCACTCTTTCTCGCCATCTCGCAGCCTGAATGAACGGCAGACATGTCTCGACATTTTCCAGAGCTCCTACTGTGTCTGTGACCAAAAATATCTCACCGGCATTGAAAATGACCTTTTCTTCCTCACTTATTACCACCAAAGATTGCTGTAAGTGCGACACGGTGTCGCCTCTGGACGGCTGGTCCGGTCGGAGTCGATCGAGGCTGAAACCCGGTCACCAGCAGATGTCCAGGACTCTCTCTGGTACATGTCGTCATGTGAACTTGTGCAAAGCTTTAGCTGTCTGGACGCAATACCAACGAGAGCGGAGGATATTGTAACAGTTGCTTGGTGTTTTTATTTGCCCAGAGGCTTTCGCTGACAGGAGGGAACAGATTGTGCTCACAAAGCGACAGGTCGGTCGGTCCGGGACCGGTAGGAAAGGTAAAAGCGGTCCGTCCTCTTTCTTTTTCACCCAGATTCCTCCTGCCAAAGCTGTAGAGCAAGCTGAGCACCAAACTAACTTTGTTCATCCGTCTTTCATCACTGTACTCTGGGCTCCCTCCACTCCACTGCTCTTGAATGCAGGACAGAAGAGTGCAACAAGTGTTTAGTTCAAAGGGAGGCTCTGAAAGCGGGAGGTTTTTTTTTTTTTTTTTTTTCTCTTATTGGATAGCAGCTTTTGTTTACTGCTTGATTGCCTGCTGCGGGGAAACGACTGAAACCTGGTTTGGGAGACAAATATCTCTGCTATGCACTAAACAGCCTTTAGGTTTCACTGCTTTTTTTTTTGCCTCTTTTTGGTGTGTTTGGGTTGCTTGGTGGTGACAGCTTGAGATTCCAAATGGTTTCCAGGCCATTCTGGGTCTAATTTAACCCTCTGAATGTCGTCATTTATTTTTGATTTCTCTTTTCTCCCCCCTCTCTCCGTTTTCAGGCGGATGGATGGCCTGGTCTCTGTGGTCGGCCTGCGATGACTCCGGCTTCCAGACCAGGAGTCGGGTGTGCGGCGCTCAGGGAAGCGCCCCCTGTGTGGGGAACAGCACTCAGCGCAGGGACTGCAACGAAATACCTGGTGAGTCCGTCCACTCTCCTTCCACAATGTCACAAGGCTGGCTGTTCAAACGCAGAAGGAGTAGCGGAGGGGCTCGATTAGGATCTTCGATCGAGTTAATCGCACAGACAAAATGAGCAGCACGTGACTTCAACAACAAAGTTATTTGCTCAGCCATCAGATTGCTGTAAAGTGCTATTTGACCCATTCAGCTTCCAGTTGTTTCTGATCATTCACTGAACTTTGGAAGAAAAAAAAACTTGCATAAAAATACGGAGTGTGTGGGCGCTGAGGACGTCTACTGCTGCAAAATGTTTTGCATTCAGATGCTATTTTAGGCTTGATTAGCTTCTGTGACGACTTGCACACAGCAGTGGTGTTTTCCACCATCTCACTAGTTTGTTTTTTGAACCAAAAATTAACCCCCGATGGTCCAAGAAAGGCGAATCATCGTCCATCGCTGCTGTCAGATTTACGGGCCGTACCAGGAACACACAAATACAGCGGTTCCAGCTCTGGACTTTTGAATGTGTAACAAACAAAAACAAATCAAATTTTAACACATTAAATGATAAGATATGTAATTAATTAATCAAAATGAATGCGTTACAGTCCCAGCCTTTTTAATGGCTGTGTTTCTCAGTGTTACTAACACGTTACAGGCTCTTGTTCTCCCGTCTCTCACATTTACCTTGATGTCAAAAATTGGAAGTAATTACTTTAGATTGAGGAAAAAGTCCCAGTTAAACTCAAATACTGTAAAGACATGTCGTATTGTTTCGAACACAAAATCACAGCTTTTAATCCTTTGTGCAGGATCCCAGATGAAGTGATCTGATCATTCAGTCTCTTGATCCGATGAGTCTCCAGACATCTCTTCTGCTCTCTTCTCTTCATCCCATAGTTTATCCACAGGCTTTAGATCTTGGGTCCTGAGAGAACAGTGGAAAATGATTTTATCAGTATAACTTTATCATTTCCCCCTTAGGGAAATTTTCCTTGCAGAAAGGTGGGAAGAAAAAAAAGAAAGGTGATGGGTGATTCAGTATCACGCAGAGTTTCAACCATTTCTGTCCTGATTTCTCGATGCACTTCAACAAGGTTTCCATGGCGTTTGGGAGAGTCTGATGCTCCAATAACACAGATAATCCACCATCTTATCAGTGGGGAATGTGGTGCTTTTTGACCTCTTCACCCTTTCCTCACCTGGAGAGTTTGCTCCTCACAATATGAAGCCTTGTAGCTTCAACAGATCGAAGCACATGGTTCCTGCAGAGTCTAGCCATATTTACGTGTTTATGTTGTAACGACAGGACAGAAAACACTTGTCTCTCTTATTGCTCTCAAACAAGGTGAATCGGTGACACTTCTTAGTGTAAAAGCTCCAACGGGGAGTTTGACTACCATGTTTGTGGTTAAAAGTCAACATGGTTCCTTCTCCCGCCTGCTGAGCAAGAACAATGGGTCCCTTTAAATATATATTTAGAACCTCAGGACTAAAATGCAAGGATAATCGTTCAAAAATGTCATACCAATTCTGATTGATGTCAACAAGCTAAAGATCAGTTGCGTTTGTTTTAAAGGCTAATCATTGTGCTATTGGTAAATGAAAAAAGAAAACATCCGTATAAGCAGCTGTATTAAAACTGCATATTTTATTCCACCAGATGACGCATTAAACATGTGTGTCATCCCACAGCGTTAAAAGGAAATCCATTTATTTTAATTCTTTTAACACATTTTCACCGCTGATGTACAAAAGGCGCTTTAATTCTGTTCACCTAGAAATAAAGACTCTACGCAGTTGTGTTTTTTTTTAATTTTATTTTATTTTATTATTTTGAAGCTGAAAACCTCCTGGGTATTTCGCATTAGTCTTGAGAGGAAGCAGCAGGTCGGGTCCAACGATATTTAGATGTGGATAAGCTGTTTGGTCTAAGCAGTAGTTTGTGCTCTGGAGTTACTCAGTCATACGATTCAATGCATCCTTTTGTTACTTTCTCCTTACAAAATGCTGCAAGTAGCTTCGTTTTTTCTTTTTTTATATATGTATATAAAAGGATTCACCTTTTAGTCCCCAGGACTCGTCTTGTTGTTAAATACGAATCATCATGATTAAAATTCATCCCCACTGTCATCCTTGGTCATAAGCTTCGGTAAACACAAACATGTTTGTGTGTGTGTGTGGTTCACATCCTGGCGCTGTAAGCTGCTCTCTGTTTGTTAATTGCGCATAATTAGGTCTGCGTGAAATTCAGTAGTCAGCAGTTCGCCCGGTCGGCCCTCAGCTCACCTTGTTATGCTGATGCGGATCTCAGAAACTTTCTCCTGAAGTGATCCCTCCTGGCCCACCAACGCGGGACCCTCCAGTCTCTGAATCCCTAACGAGTCGAGATGAAGGTGATTAATATTAATGGGACGTCACAAACGGCAAATCACATTAGACTTTATTGCACATTTCTGTGAGACCGTGGAAGGATCGGCAGAGGTCTCCTGCGGAGGAGGTGGGGGGAAAATATTAGCAACGAAAATTAATCAGCAAATGTGGCTCTGCAATTAAACGCGTTGACTCCCACGGACACACACGCACGTGCTTGTTCGCTTCGGGGGGGAAAGTTTGCAGAAAGACAGGATGTGCTGGACAAATAAAGTTGTTTTCCTGGTGTAAAACCTCTCTAGCAAAGAAAGGTCCAGCTCGACTGAACGAAACTTGGGAGGGAGTCACTCAACAGTCCAATTATCTAAACGTAAAAAGTCTCAGGTTTCACCGATACATTAAATTAAAACCAATCCCTACGGACCCTTCGCACAACAACACGGTGAACTCATTTCAGTTTCTCATGTTCCTCATATCTTGTTCTCATTTCTGCATGTTTCACAGTCGGCGTTTGTGTGCTCTGAAGGTGAACACATGCATGTATGCGTGTGTGTGTGTGTGTGTGTGTGTGTGTGTTTGCATGCCTGTTTGTGTGTCTGACTTGTATTCCTCTCCTCTCCGCAGTCATTCTCCCGGCATCTGGTTTTGATAAGGACCAACAATGCGGAGGTAAGTGGATTAACGGTTCGTCCGAGCTCAGCGCATGTTCAGGTTTTTTTGCGTTGCCCCTCCGAGTCCCTTTATGTTTCCTGTCTGGAACGCCGTGTGTGTTTTCATGCATCGAATGCACATTTTCATGTTTGCTGTCTCACTCGCTGTAAAATTCGAGAATCACATTCTTACGAGTCTGGTCCATTTTTGGTTTTTGACTTGGAAAATAAAAAAAATTTAAAATAAAAAAACGGTGCATCCAAAGTTCCCAGAATAAATGTTGAAAGCAGGTTGTGAAAAGAAATAAATCATTCTCATGTTATTTACCTGACAACCCAAGCGTGGAAATTTTCAAGCAGGCATTTAGGAGCTGTTGTGTGTTATAGTGGAGCAGAGTAACGTTGGTAGCAGCAGCATAATTGAGGTGAAAACACTTGAATACATGTCAAAACAGTTTTTTTCAGCATATTGTACAATAACATGTGGGAACTTAATGGAACCAGTCGTGTAAAAAGTAGTTTCCTTATTATATCATCTTATATGCATAATGTTTTAAAAAAAATAATTTATTTTTCAAAATATTAAAGTAAATTGAACTAATTTAGACTTAGAGAGGAGCGGCGCTTGCCACCAAGTCATCCAGGACCTGTTACTGTGAAATATCGTCTCTGCTGCCCGGATATCCAGCTGTTAGCATGTCATGCTAATATTATGTAAAAAGTTAACTTAGTTTGACATTTTATAGAAGACGTTAGCACTTATCAAAGCTGTGGAAATGTGAAAATTGTACTCACCGACGTCGGCAACTCGTAAAGTAATAATTCCCTGTTAAGGAGTTTTCCTGTGAAGGTAAATCTGTGTACATCGCCTCAAAGCAAGTTCAGCTCCGGCGGGAACTGTTGTGGTTTTCTTTTTGACCTTTCCTTTTTCCAACACCTCGAGATGTTCTTTTGAAGAGACGTTGTTGTTGTTTCCTAAAGCTCCTTATCTGCAAAACGACCAATGCCCTCACACCCGGAGAGTTTGATGCACTTCATCCTCACGTAGCTTTGATCGTTCAGTAACGTGTCCAGACTTTGTGCTGCTCCATAGGGAGTGTGTGTGACAACCCCACACACTCCCAGGTTGGGAATCATTGTTAGCTACTTCCTAATTTGGTCCTCGCTTCCTCAGTCAGATCCATCCCTCTTACATCATTTATGTCTACAAAAGAAAAAATCAAATCGGACGGTGGCATTTGACATAATCTCTCTTTCAAATTTCACCCCAACCAATTATAGATGTCCGTACAGAGTTATAAATGGATAAAGTGACCGAGAGCAGCCTTGCATGTCATCTTTGAACCAATTCTAAAGTAAAATGGCTCCAGCGGGAGAAGTCCCAGCTGTAAATTGTTCTTCATAAAGAGGGAATAAAGTCGTGGAGTCGGGATGAATTATCACAGCATACCGATCCGGCTTGAAGAGCACACCAATTTTTCCCAAGCACCAACTTTTGTGAAAAGGGCTAATATGCTGACCGTTACTGCGATATTGGGCGATATGTAAATCTCCTCGCCTGGATAAAATATCCCTCAGACCTTTGCTGACGTTCCGGTGTCGTTTTCGTTTGTCAGCCTTCACCTCCATCCACCTAATCGCCACCGGTGTCTCCTGCTTCCTGGGGGCGGGGCTGTTGTCCTTCCTCGTCTACGTTTACTGCCAACGGTTCCACAAGCCCTCGCAGGAGTCCGCCGTCATTCACCCGACCACGCCCAACCACCTCAACTACAAGGGCAACACCACACCAAAGAACGAGAAGTACACACCCATGGAGTTCAAGGTAGGAGCGGATGTTTGTTCGCCTCATCTTTCCTTTCTCCAAGTGCAAACACAGCAAGAATGCTTGTGTTCATTCTGCGTCCCACATGAAGTTGATTACTTCTTTTTTGTGCTTCTTTGTTTTTTGCAAAACTTTGATGTGTGGCCCTTGCAGCTTTACCTGAACTTCTTTATTTATATGTTTGGTTAACTTTAAACAGCATTAATGTGTTTCCATTGCTTCATATCTGCTTTGAATTGCTGTCAAATTCACAGTTTGCTCATTTTATTGATTTGAAAAGGCTTCAGGTCATCCACTACTACACAGATCATCTCTGTAAGCTTTACTTTAACACTTTTAATTATGTTAAGCTCACGACTTGTGTGGGTGAGTTCTCGTATCAGTCATAGCAACATCTGTTCTCTGATCGTGACCTTAGGGTCTGAGTTCAGAGAAAGTGAATTTAAAAAGATGATAAAATGTCAGAAAAGTGTTTTCAATCTGGAACATGTGGATTATAGATTGACACGTCGCTCCAAGTCCACATTCTGTCATTAATAATTCAACTTTTTAAAAATGTCATTTTCCCACTGTTTCAAATGTAGGCGGATTTCATTAGTGGCTTCATCAATATGAACCATCTGGCTCCTGTAGGTCAGCTGATCAGAGGTTTTTAGGCATTTCAAGGACTCAATAAAAACCCGAGTGCAGAGGTGGCTGAAGGTAACTGAGAACTTTAAAACCTATAAACTCTGAGGGAGGAGAGGAAATAAGGTGGCAGGGGATAAAACTGCCAGACTGCAGGAAAGGTGAATGTTAAGCACTAAGTTAGTGAACTAAGACAAAAAAAATAAATAAATAAAATCAGGGAGAAAATAACACTGACCTAAGAAAACAAACTGTGAATACGCAAAGTACAGAACATAAGAATAAACAAAGAGACACAGAGAAACAAAATGTGGAAAAACCACAAATGAAACCCTAAACCCAATGATTGGGACACTTTTATTCCCTGACATTCAACCCAGAGTGAGACTTTGACTGTGCTCACATAGCAGGTCTTGATGCTCGATTCCAAATTAGAGCTGGAACCTGTTTTTCTTTTTGTTGGACATTCACACTAATGAATGATGTGACACAAGATCATAAAGAGATGAAGGGAAGTACAACTAGTAGCTACAGCCTCTTCTGGAGCATCGACTGCAGCTTCAGTGCAGAAGCCAGTTTGGATGTGAACCAGGATAAGTATCCAACTAAGTACCAGATATGAAAGAGGCACAAATCTGATTTTATATTTATTTATTTTTGGAGTGAGGGGTGAAAAAAATCTAAACTAGGTCATTCAGTTTCCATGTGAAAGTTGGATGTGGGTCGCATAGGAGGGGGAAAAAAAATTGGATTTGTGGCCTGCGACTGATTTTGTTTTATTTATTGGATTACTTTATTATTCTTATCAGTTTTTTTATCTGGCTGTTTCCTTCCTTCTCACTGTTAGTCTATATTCCTTTAATCCTGCTTTGTGTTGTTCTGTACAGCACCTTGGTGGTGTTGTTTGTAAAGCGTCTCATGAATAAAATGGTTCACTGTGGTATTTTGTTCAGTGCAATACAATAACGAATAACATAATTTCAAATCAAACTGTTTGACGAAAAGCAGACAAATACACACTGCGGAGCTCAGGTCCGTCTCAGACCGAATCCTGATTCAACTTGTGTTTTTGCCCGACATCTAAAACGTTTCACTAAAAAGGCTTTTTCCTGATTCCCGGCTCTCTGTGCCACGACGGCCGCAGCCTCCTGAGTCCTCATGGTTACCGTTGTGGTTGGTTGCACACGGCGCCGAAAACCACTGTGTTGTTAAAGGCTGAACTCATTAGCTTTTAACGACCGCAGGAGGGGGGGGGGAGGCCAGACGCCGCCGGATGCGCAGACGGTGTCCGCGTACCGCAACGCCACTTTTGTGCGGCGGGTTCCCTCGGCTCCAGGCCAATTTATGTTAGCTCCCCGATCGTGTGCTTCACCAACTCTAACCTGATTATCTGCCTGCTTCGGCCTCCAGAGCTGTTCAGATGGAATCACATCAGTTAAAGCTTCCCCTGGAAAACGTTCGGCTTTTACTCACGAGTTGGCAGTGGCGTTAAAATAAAACGTTCGGCTTTGGACTCGTTTTTATTCTTGATTGCTCCACTAGATACTTGTCAGCCTACGTATTAGAGCACTGAGTGCGATTGACGAGATTCAAATTAGATTTGTTACCTTGATTTTGTTTGCTTGTAAACACACACATATACTCAAGCAATAACATCAAGACATTCTTTTATCAATACCGAGCTACAGCGATGGATGGTTGCAGTCCGTGTTGTAACTACGTTCTTCATTATTTAAAGTTTTTTCAAATGTCTGTTTTCTATACCATAAGGAGATTACATCACTTGAGTCAAGTGAGCTTTAAAAGAGCTATATAAATGAAAACTCCCTGTGCTGTAGTTTTTTGAGTCTAGAAGCAGCAGTTTGACCGTTTCGTTTGCCAGGAAGCGGACATTAGCCAGATGGATTGAGGGCAAGGGTGTGGACGGTCTCCGCTGTTAAAGTCTGACAAGGGTGCCTTCCTGTTGACCTTGTCTTCATTTCTGGTAAATCATACACAGAGCACTTCGCCTCCAACGATGCAAATTGGAGAATAAATATGTAGAGAGGACATTTTGATTTAGGAGTCCTTCTCTGGGTGAAAGTAACAGGAAAGAGTAAGGGTACATTCACACTGGCTCCTCAAACTTTGGTCTGCCTGAAGTGAACTCTGGCCAAGTTTGAATGCATATGTCGATGCCAGATGGACCAAAGACCGTGCCAAAAGCAGGAAGCGGACTATAGAGCAAGGCATTCTGGGATTTTTTTTTAAAGATAAGAGTAATCCTACAACTGCTAAAATCTGATGCCACTCCATTTTTGTTTGAATTTTGTGAAGCTATCGTGTCTTCTTCAGAGGTTTTCATGTTGTTTCCTGCAGTGGTTCTTGGTGCAGCGCCACCACAGGCGAGGAAGTGAACAGGTTTTTCAAAGGGTTTGGTTGGTTTGACTCAGTGTGGTGGGAAAGCGAACCGTTCCAGATGAAAATGTAACAAATGTTGCTCGATTGAACCACGTCTACCGGACTGTCAGGTGTGAAAACACCCTAAAAAAAAACTCACATTCAAAGTACGAGAGAGCAAAGAATGGAGGCCAGCATCCGCCATCTTGATCATTAAGTTAAAGCTTTGTTACAAGTGGGTTTTCCTAGTGGACATAGACCATTACTATACCTCTACATTGATTTCAGATTGGCTTTGGGACAATAAAGCCATTGTTTTAGAGCAGCCATCACAAAGTTCTGAATCTTATTCCATAGAAAATTTGAAGGAAGAGTTGAACAGTTATCCTACAAGTTTGATCCTATCACACAGATACAAAGTTCTTAATTTGAAGAAAGTTGAAAACATCTCTCTAACTGTAACACATGAAACAGGAAAACAGTAAAAGTTGTATTACAGTAGAATAGTGCTGCACAAAAAACAAATATGTGCCTAAGAAAAGAGATGTTAAACTCTTCGTTCGTTCTGTTGTTTCATTCCAGACGCTGAACAAGAACAACCTGCTGCCAGACGAACGATCCAACTTCTACCCGACACCGCTCCAGCAGACCAACGTCTACACAACCACCTACTATCCCACACCGCTCGGCAAGTTTGACTACCAACCCAACTCCTCCCCCTCACCGTGCAGAACCTACAACAACAGTAACAACAGCTGAGACGCAGCCCGCCGATGACCCTCCACCACCCCCATCCCGCTCTCTCTCTCCCCCCACCCCCGAAACGGACGCCGCTACCATGGTGACATAAGTGAACCAATGTGAACTGAAATGTTATTCAGAGCTTGGCAACGTCTCTGTGCTCTACGCCGTCACCTCCCTGAACCCGTAGTCTCTTCTGCCTGGTGGCGTTTGTGTTTTCAGGGTTGGTTGTTTTTGGGACTTTCCGTCGAGAGACGTGGATTCGGACTACAAAAGCCCGGCTCCTGGTAAAGTCAAGAACTTATGCAACCGGTCTGGGGGCGCGTGTTTTTGTAAGGAATCTGTCGGGGATGTCGCTGTGTCAGCGCCAGCGCTTTATGTGGGGAACAAGCGAAAAGAAAGTCAACAAAAGGCCGAACTCTGGCTTTGAGGAGATTGTCGCTACCGCTTCGATGCAGGTGCCGGGTCGTCGACCCCCATCTGCATAGACCGATGGGAATCTGACAACAACAACAACAAAAGTAAACTTTTTTACGGGATAAGAGTTACCTTTTTTTATGTTTGGCTCTCTCTCCATTACAAACAACATTCTTGGCCTGTAATGAACTTGAGTCCCTCAACAACAAAAGCAGTTTCGGAGAACAAAGGGCACACGTGTTCCTCGTCCTCGCCGCACAGCACAGGGTGAGGCAACGACAACAAAAGAGAAAACTGAATGAAGTCGATGACAAAATAAATTACAGATCGATATCAGCGCGGTGGAGTGGGAGAGGAAATGCGTTCACTCTCTCCCTCGTCCTCCCCATTGTTGGTATTTTCACATGACGGGAAAGATAAGAAGTTTAAAGTTGATTAAGCTTTTGTGAGGCTGTTTGGGGAAACTCGCATGAAGCACCGTCACCCACAGCTGAAGAGAATTATTGTCTAAATCTGCTTTCGATCAAAGTCCCAATCCCGTTTTGGAAGACGCGGATGTGCTTGTGTGAAGGTCACAGCCGGGAATTCGGTGGGGCTGTTCGGAACGGCAAAAGCTTTGGGAATGCCGCGGGTGCCTGGGGTGATTTTATGTTCCCATTTCTGTTTTGTTTGTTTTTCTCTTTTTGTTTCATCCGAGAACAACGAGGACTCCCGAAGAAGAGGATTGATTGATTCTCCAATTAATTCTCCACTGAATGAATGCAATTCTACTGAGAGCTAAATAGTTCAGTGGTCATATCAAATATGGCCAGTGTGCTGAAGAACTGGATCGGGGTTTTTTCAGTTTTTTTTTTTTTTTTTCTATGACGGTAGAATAAGCTAGCAGACTGGCACTTGTTCTTTTCTAAATGTTTCGTTTTTACAACGGTTTTCTGTTCACAACGACCTGTAGCATAGAAGGAGAATATTTTGTTAAATAAGAATATAACTGATTAATAACTCTTGCTTCTCTAATTTCATTTTCATAACAAATGCATCGTCAACACGTGAAATGTTACAAAAATAAAACAATGAATTTTAAAGTCTCCTTTTTTTTGGGTTTCTTTTATATGAATACTAACAAAAAATCAACCCCTTTCACCCCCTACTTGAAAATAGAAAGGATAAAAAAAAAATAAAAAAAAAACTTATGCTTGCTTAGAAGAAAATGAACGCATGAATGTGTGAAAGTGGAGACTGTTTGTGTGGAAAGAGAAAAAATACAACAAAAAAGGAAAAAAATAGGGTTGCTTTGTTTTGTACCATGTAAATGCTTTCATACATATGAGGCGGTTTTTATCTGTGTGTGTGTGTTGTGTGTCTGTGTGTGTTTCCAAATTCTGTCACTCTTCAGATGTTCAGCTTGTTTTTTCTGTTTCACGTCTGAGATGTTAATCGTAAGTCAAGCGTTGCGCCACTTGGTGGAATGTACATTATTTATAGCTTGGTTTGTAAAAGGCCATTTTCACTGGAATATTTTATTGTTACTGCCTGATCAATGAATGCTAACTCGCCCAGGCTAACTCACGTTCAAGCTAATGTACACGCACGACATGAGAGCTCTATCTGTATATAGGAGCAGCAGCCTTCTGCCCATCCAATGTCCCTGAAGAGGAATGTGTAAATGACTCTGTATACTGTATAGCTAACATTTTGTTTAAAAAATAAAAAAGAGAGAGAAGCCTTATAGTTTAAAAAAAAAAAAAAAGTGCAGCAGCTAAGTACACAATAAACCCTGCGGTTTGTTTGGGGTCGGAGCTCCGTGACATGACCTGCCGCCTGTGGCTAACGCGACCTCCCCCAGCTGCCCAAACAAACGAGATCGACTGGCTGTACCGCTGACGGGAATCAAAAGCAAAATGGATCAAATAAAATAAGCTAACTGAGAACAAAAGGATCTCTTTGATCGTACTAATTTTCTATTGGCCCCGGTCTAAAAGCTCTACACGCGGTTGGTCGTTCTGAGCTCCGGCCCCCGGCGATGTGAGGCTCTGTGCCCCTTCTATGCAACTTACCAGGTGTACTGTTAGACCTGTCGTGTAGACTATAATCACTGCCTTTTAGACACTGTGAACTTTTTTGTACCCTATATTTTTGTATATTGTACATGATTAAGGACAATAAACCTTGATGCCAACACATCACTGTCATGGCTAGCTGGGTGTGTGTGCCTGATCGTTTGGATTATCCAGCGGATTAGACTGTGATCTCCGTGAATGAGAACAGGGAACATGATGCTAGGACTCTGACTGGAAGACGGGTAAGTACGAACACAGACACTCGAGGTAAAAACTCTTCACACATCAATGTTTTGTTTTAACTTAAGGGATGTGAGAGTGAATAGCAAACATTTGCCTTGGTTTAAGGCCCCACATACTTGGGCATCCTGTGCTGAGGTCCGCTAATGCTCATGGTGAACTCGAAGTGAACGTCCACCGAACAGGGCAAGGTCAGTCTTTACAACCTGCTTGGCAGGAAACAGCGCATCGTCTCATCTTGTGACAGCTCAGATTGATTTAGGGCGTTCAAATGATTGGTATATTTTTAATTCTGTCCTCCAGAAGACATAAAGGAAAGGAGCGGTTCACTTTAATTCCCAGTTTGGATGTGAAACGCCACAAAAGCTGATCCCACCGGGAATCTGGGTGAACATCTTGGACTTCCTTGTTGCACAAACTGGCAGATGTGTCGGGTGAAATACGGCAGTGGGAGTAGCAGGCCTAGCAGTGGCATCGACTGCAAAGTAGGGAATTCATTAGGGGGAATATATAATAAAGTAAAATTACATTAAGTGTGGTATCATTTAGTCCACTTTAAGAGTCTACCCTGCCTATAAAATGTGCTCCGCTACCCAGCAGGTAAGTGGAAACAGTCTGAGCCTGAAACGTGTCACAGAAGGGCATCTTCTCCCTTTCATCTAGAGACAACAAATGACTGCAGCGCCGAAATCCTTGGCTGTGAGAGAGGTGCTGGTGGTGGTGGTGGGGGGGAGATGGATGAGACAAATGAGCCAAGTAGTCAGGGTGTGTCCAGCAGAGTGCTTGTGGATCACTGCTGGTGCCAGTGGCCCAGACACCAGCGCTTTATCATTACACCACAAATGATTCTGCTGCTGCTGCACAGGAAAATCAAGATCAGAGCCGAAGAACGGCTTCTGCAACAGGGGGGAGACGCTAAATAAAGCGCTCTCAGTGTTTAGCCCTCACATAAATAACGGAGAGAGACACTATTTGTGTTTCGCTGCGACTCAACGTCACGGTGACCGTCAGGCCAAGCAGCTCCAACGTACAGCTTGAAACCCATAAATGCACAAGAACGCGACGTCCTGGTTCAGTTAACGCTACGCCGTACCTCTTAATTAGAGTTATTAATAGGCCCGCTGAAAGTATTCATCAGTGGGGAGATTCTGCTTGCAAACAGAAGCAGAGATGGGCTGGCTGGCAGCCAGGAGGAGGTCACCGGGTGGAGCCAGTGGACCGGAAGAGGAGACTGCTGGAGGAGACGAAGGTGGGCCAGTGGGAACGCTGCCATCCGCTTTAAAGACGATGACAAGTAAGCAAGGAGAGTACTGGTTCCTGATGGTCGCCGATATTAACGAGTTGTGTTGAAAAACAAGATAACAGCTGTGTGAAAAATTGAGACCCTATCTTGGACAAAAAGAGCACTGCACTTAACGTTGACTATCTTGGAAGAAATTCCCTACCTTTGGGCAATTGTTTGCAAGTTTGTTAACATTTCACATGATGAAACACCTTTTTATCAAATGGAGTAATAGAAACTATATCAAATCTTTCTTTTAAATGTAATACAGCTTTTTATTTCAATGCAGTACAGCTACTGAAGCTACAGTGACTCGCCAACCTATCAAGACCCAAATCTTGATACCTTAAGAGGTTGACCTCTGCTGACCTCTGTGACCCTTTTTTTAATATTAAAGATGAAAATGCCACAAATAAAAACTTTGATCTGTTACAACAACCACAAACTGAAATCATATTGGGATTTTTAATAGTGCGTATATATAGTAGTTATGAATTGTAATATATTCTCGTGAGGTGTTCACTACATAGGCAATGTGTTGCACTTTATTTAAAAATATATATACTTCTGACACACATATTTCAGATTATTCAACAAATTGTGATACTCACACGTGACGTTAAAGCAAAAACAAAAAAGTTTGTAATGTCTGAAAGTTTGCAAGTATATTCCTCACAACACTGTATTTGAAATGTGCCAGCTGTTTTACTTCTATGCCTTTTTTACATATTTCTGCAGTTTTGACATGGAAATGTATATAATTAGTTTGAGCTACAAGTCTGAAAACTGTTGAAAAGAAAAAAAATGTAAAAATAAAAGATGGTTCTCACTCTCACTCAATGGATATCTGCAGATTTCCATTGTGCTGTGATTGGCTAATTAAATATTTGCTAATAATCATGATCCAAAGCACAGCAGTAGTAATGAATTTTATGCTAATACAGCGACAGAGCCCGAGGTGTACATTTGTGGGTAATGTTTGCCGAGCATCTGCTGCTGCAGAGGCTCGTTCAACTTCAGCCCGTTTAGGAAGCCGTCACATTACGCAGCAGCTGTATTAGGATTATCAGACGTTCACTCAGCTGTTCTGTTTACAGAGTAAATAGCTTCTTGTTTTGATGAGAGCTGAGCCGTGTGTCCCAGCAGGCCGGCAGACAGACAGGCGCGTCCTTGTTCTGGGCTCAGCCAGACACGATGGGCAGATCACAAAATGTCTGGAGCTCAGGCCAAAAACTGCAGGGACGTAGACATTGCAGCGTCTGTGTCTTTGTCCATGAGCCAGTGATCGTTCAGCAGCTTTAACCCACCAACTACTTCTGTGTGTTTGAATATATCGATGCCCTGTAGAAGTGGTGATATCAAGTGATCGGCCTCTCTGTGATTCCTTACTTACATTTTTATTGGCATTTCTTGGAGTGAAGCCTTAAAATCAATCAATTTTTCACTGCAAAACCACAATATGAACTTTTGCTTCAGTTCTCCAACAGTTCTAATCGTACTGTTTCTTCTTGTTTTCACTATGCTTCTGTCAAATGAATTGGCTTTTTGGGGGCTTTATCATATTCAAAAACTCACCAAAGTTGGCGGATGTGTCAAGTCTGTGTGACAATTAAGGTTGTCGCAAAAATTGCAACACAAACGGCTCAACAGCGCCACCTGGCAACTTTCAAATTACCTTCTGCATTGACCGTACTTCATTATCCAAATAAACAAAGTTTGGGGTGGGGGGGGGGGATATGGTCATTTTAATTAAAGAGTGTCGTAACAGAGTCTATTAAAATTTTAAGTAACGATAAGAAAGATGTACTCAAACTTGTGCTCATGAAATCCAGTCGTCATCTACATTCAGGGTGGTTTCAAAAATTGTCGAACTTAGTCGTGGGCCACACAAAATCATTCTGCAGGACCAAAATGGCACGTTGGCCACACTTTGGACACCGCTTCAGTTGGCTGCCATCAGTCATTTTTGCACAGCTTTTATTTGCTATTCTACTTTTTTTTAAATTCTAGATTAAATTCAGCTTCAAAGGAGTAAGAAGACCAAATTCACACTGCTCTTCGTAGACTGTACAGTAGATAGGTGCTTCTGTACGTTTGTCCTTACTGCTCTCCTCCTCATCACTCATTCAATATTCCTGCAGCTCAATGCCTTCTTTAAATCTAATTTAACCACACGTTGCTCTACTGGAAGTGTGATTTCTACCCCTTTTTCTCTTTATTGTGGCGTAGAGGCTGAATTTATCCTTTTAATGGAGGAAAATGTTTGGAAAATTTGAACAAATAAGACAGGAAAGGTTCAGTGTAACATTAAATTGTGGCCTGCCGATTTTAATAACAGCCTGAGCTTTAAATTACAAGTGTTCAACTTTAGACCTCATATAAAAACTGCCTATTTTAAAAGTTTAAACTCCAGATATGCAGTAATATGTTCTAATATGCGCAATGGAAACGATTTTAGCACATCCATTTTCTGAACCTCCTACTTTTGGAGGTTTAGCCAATCCGCGTCAAGAAAAATAAGTGGCGCTCCTGGATTGGCTGCTTTCCAAAGCTCATCCAATTGCGTTTAAAGTAACATTGCCCAGATGTATTTCAGACTCCAAAGCTGCATTTTCTTTCAGATATTTTAGAAATGTTCAGGTCTATATGTGAATTCTGAGATAACTTGGAGTAAAAACATTGTGTAGAGGATGCATTGTGGAGACGTAACAGGAGACTCCTTGTTCTCAGCGGATCCTTTTGAAGCCGAAAGTGACGAAACTAAAGGAGAACTTTGAACGCTCGCCTTTCACTTCAAGGAGCCACGTCGGAGTGCGGGCGCCAACCGCTTAACCCCGGCTGACAGAGAGGGATGAGAGGGACGGAGTGAGCGGGCAGTGATGAAGAGTCCTCCCCTCGTCCCAATAAGGCGGAGAGAGGCCTGGCAAACCATGTTAAATCACCCGGCCCGGACGCCTGCTTCTCACATGGAGCTGAGCCCTCACATTTGACCGTTGGAGCTCAGGGCCCGTTTCCAAGAATCTCATTCGACAAACATTTGGGTTTATGGTGGTTGTGCGACGGAGAGCTTGAGCGAGCCATTTGCGTTTTATTCAATCTACTTAACTAGCTGACAGAGGTCTTAAAAGCTGCCAGCCACACCGAGGGCAGGCAATATTGATGATGGCGCTGTAAATAAAACTGCTGATGACACAGAAATATAGACGGAGGGGGTCGCGCCTCACGTGGGACCCGGAACGCCAGGCGACATAACCTCGTGGGATAAATCAGAGGGCCACGGATTCCTGAACGACGTGCTGGACGGTTTCAACCATAGACATAAGAGTGGACGCCTCATGGACCGCTCTCGCCTATTGTCGCTGACGAGATTTAGGGCGGCCATCTTGGAGCGGTCCACCACTCCACTCAGCGTTGTGTGTTTAGCAGCACAATGATGTATCAGCGCATTTAATCGCTTTTTTGTTACTGGAAACCATATTCAAACATC